TTTTATTTTGGCCAACAGAATTCATGCTTTTCATTAATACCTCTGCATTTAAAATACTTTCAATCCTAATACCTGAAATGTATGATATTAAAATGGACAGTTGCTTTATTGCTTTTGATGATTTTAACAGAAATTATATATTTCATCAAAAAAATCAACGTTCTATATTAATAAGTCTCATCACAGAGAAAGTTGAAAACAGGGATTATTTAGGAATGATAGAAGTATTTGTGAGTGTGGCAAATCATTGCATGATTTTTTGAAAAGCTGTGCCACATGCATTTCCAATATATTGCTGAATAATTACTGTAAGGTTAAAAATAACAATTTAAGGAAACCAATGACCAAAAAAGAAAAATGGGTAAATTAAATAATTCTGGAATTTAGGTGAATTTTTTATGTAATTTTAAGTTAAATAATTAGTATTTGCAAACTGTGCATAACTGAGCCATAGAAACTTGCTGCTGCCTACTAGTGGCTGAGTGGTAAAATAGCTGAAAACTGATAGTTTGGTCTGGAGTTCCAATCTCGGTGAACGGGCTGGCTGATAATTACCTTATACGAGCAAATAGAATTGATAATTACCTTATATGATCAAATAGAATCAAAATTTAATTAAGTTTGAAAATATTGACAAGTGTGATAGAAGCTGATGAACCAACAAAAAGGAAGATGTTAATTTTAAAAGTGAAATAAAAACTTGGGAAATATGGGATGATAATGCGATAGCAAGAAATCTAATGAATTAGACTGTGACAGCTCCATAAGCGTTAAAATATGTGAATGAACAGAGTACAAAGAAATGATGGGAGAAAATAAAAAATGAAATGGCGGCAAGAATAGAAGATATTCATATCAAATGTAGAAAGAATTAGCTCAACTGAAAATGAGTCGAAATGAATCTGTAGATGCTTACATAAATACAGCTGTAATTCTGAAAAGTAAAAGCATTCAAGTTGGGATAAAATAAGAGATAAAAAATTAATTTACTTCATACTAGAAGGACGTTAAAGTTGATTGTTGTTAAAATTATCAAAAGTAATAAAGAGAAAGATATAGCTTCAATTATACAAGCTTTAAGATAAACAAATTGTAGATCATGATTTAAAAGCAATTTTTACCAAAACTAAAGCAGAAGAAAAGATGAGCGAGAACAATGAAAAAGATTATGTAGTAATGATGTATGAAATGATAGAAAAACTAAGTTCAATGGAGGCTCATGAAGTCTGGAAATTAGTTGAAAGATCTATCAATAAGAAAATTACGATGTTTACGAAAACTACAAAAATAAGATTTTTGATGTAAAAAACTGAATATTTAAATGGATACTTGAATAAACCAATTTATATGGAACAACCACCTGGATTTAAATCAGATTCAGACTGTCAAGCATCAATAGATTGGATAAAAAAAAAAAAAAAAAAAAAAAAAAAAGTAGTAGTTCAAGGCACATTAATCAAAATCCTTTGCCGTAAGCCAAATCAACTAGCTAAATCATGTTTATTTTTGTAGACCTCAAATCAGGGGCTACAATGATAAGCCTGTTTTGGCATTCATATTTCAAAAATTTGAATGGCAAATATTTGTTGATGTGAATTAATGATGTTTAACTTAATAATTAATATCTTATAACATTGTAATGATATGCTGGATTTTTCATTGCTTAATACTGCATGCATCTTTTACTATTTGTCTATTATTAAATAAATTTACAGTGTATATTTAATCAGATGTTCTTTCATAAGAATTTTTATAGCATGATATGGTACTCATTGGGGTAGATTGCATAGTTATGATCTCACTTTGTTTTCAGGGAATTTTATAATATATTTTTGGATATGCTACAAGATTTCTTGTATAATGTTCATGCTTTAAAACATCTTTAAAATAAAACTTTTTTTGTCATATATTTCCCAAAATGTTCACTTGTATGTTTATAATTAAAAAGTACCTTAAGATATTGGATTAAATGTTGAAATGTTTTTATGAGAAAGAAAAAAAAAAAAAAATGGCTTTTGCTTCAATAGAATTGCATGTAAAATCATAGATGTAAATCAAAATTTTATTTAAATTAATATGTTTATGAATTTTGTTATGAAATATCACATATCTTTTTAATATTTAAGCAGTATAAATCAATCTAATTAATTTAAGCAATACAAATTAATGTAGTAGTATGTGGTGTATAAAGAGTTTAAATATTTTTTAAAAGAAAAAAAAAGAATGTCTAAATTAATTGAATACTAAGCATCTGTAAACTATATCCAGTTTGGTATATAGAATGATATAGATGATATATTGTAATATCAGTGGAGTCGTAGAAACTTATTCAAGTTTATGAAGTTTATTTTTGTGGACCTCGCATCAGAGTCTGCAATAATAATGTTCCATTATTAATATTTAAAAAATTCAAATGACAACTTATTGCAGACGTGAAATGATAATTTTCAACTGGCTAATCAGTATCTTATACTATCGTAATGACTCGCAGGATTTTTCATTGCTTAATATTGTGTATTTTTAATGAGATGTATTAAGAGTGTATTTTTAATAAGATTTTTCTTTTATAAGAATTTTTTTTGAGCATGATATGATTGATGCTCATTGGGATTGATTGCATAGTTATGATCTTGCTTTTTTTAAGAGAACTTGAAATATATTTTTGAATATTCTGTGTAATGTTTTTGCTATAAAACATCTTTAGAATGAATCTTTTTTCAATATGTAGACTAAACTTCAGATATACTTTTAATATATTAATGTATTAATAAGATTTGTGTATTTCACTTAATGTCCACATGTGTATTTATTATTAAATAGCATCTTAGGATCTCTGATTGAATCTTGAAAAATCTTTATGGGAATAAAGAAAAGAAAGAGTTCATTTTGCTTCAATATCATTGCACCAAAAACAATTATAAAGCAATTTATATTAGAATTAATGAATTGATATTAATTTTATTATGAATACTATATGTGTTTGTTTAGTATTCAAGCAGTATAAATCAGTCTTCATAATTTAAGCAATATAAAATCATCTGAGAGCTTTAACATATTTTTTCTTTTTATTACAAAATGAAAACATCTCCTGTTTAGTTCATTACATATGTTATATTTTCATTGATATTATCATACCGTATAATTTTTTTATAAATAATTTTTGTGTCCATTTTATTTCCGTATAAAAGTTCAGATATGTTTCAGTTTAATTTAAATCAGCTCTCTGCTAAATTTACAATATCACTCAAATCTTATTTTTATTTTCTGTTTAATAAATCGGTATTTAGTATTTAAATATCATTACGATATAACATAGTACGTTATTATTCCTAAAATTGGAAATATTAGTTGTAAAAATTAATTTAACTTGACTTTTGTGTTGGAAATAAAACGCTGCGTACTACATAAATGAAACAGTCGGCTGCGTCTACCGTGGGAACGATCGCCTTCGATTGTGACGTCACAAATCGGTGGAGCAGGCCTGTAGATATCTAGTTGGCCTTGGATGTAGACGCTAGTAGTGTTATGTGACCGCAGTATTTTTATGTTTAGAATTTGTGACATTCCTCAGTATTTAGAAGCACCTCTGTTACTTCGCAGTAAATCGAATAACTAGTTACTCGATGGAGGTAGGTCGCCGCAGAGCAGGTACTCGGGTGTTTACACATTTCGAAGAAGCCTGACGCTAGCGTAATGTAACAGTTTAAGTTTCACTTTCGGGGAAACACATTAAAATCTGAAATGCTTGATGTCTTAATGAAATTTTCGTATTGTAATTTTTGCTTCCTTAATTTTCGTAACAATGTTCATGATTTGTTAAAAATTAAATTAAATTATGTTCAGGAAATTAAAAATGTCCTGTTTTGTTATATATGTAGCTGTACCTGTATCTATTATTATCATTAATCAAGTAGCAATGTATGTTTGTGTACATCACGTTACCATCACTGCGCACATACCCAGCATATAAAAGCAATACATGGCGTAATCGACCGTAGCTTAAAAAAGATCTCTTCTTTTTTTTTTTTTAAAAAAAGAACCATGCAGCTTCACTTGTGAATAACCGTAAAGACACTCTAAACTTAAACACGATGAAAAGTTGTTTACAGCAAAATCGAAACTTCCATCGCTGGTAAGTGCGTTATTTATTTTTATTTGAAGTGGCTAAAAATACGTACTATATATGAACTATTTAAAGTTTTCAAGTATATATGGATGGATTAAAGCTACCAAGTAATGTAAATTTCAAAGGTAATTTAAGCGAAAATTGGAAGAAGTTTTCAAAAATTATATAAATATATAACATATAAATTTGGAAAATTTCCAAATTTATATGTTAGCGTCTGGTGGTATTACTAAATCACCTGAAATTAAAGTAGCTATTTTATTGCATATTATTGCTGAAGAAGCACTTGAAAAGTTTAATACATTTAATTTAAGAGTAAGTTTTGAGAATTACGAATGCTGCCTTTTGACAATAGATGGCGCTGACCGTTGCCCTGGATTTCTGACGTCAGAATTATGTGTTGCTATCTTTGGCGAAGTTTTCGCTCATGTTAAAATACAAGCTCTTGGCGCCATATTTTTATTATGAATTTGTGCAACGTAACAAAATATTTGCAAGTAAAACAAACGTGACAGTATAAGAAAAGCATTCTGGTAAGTAAGGATTCTTTTTATGGGGGGTAGTATTTTTATATTGTTCATATTACGTACTTTTCATCAAAATTTTTTAATCATATTAATTGGAATAAATAAAACTTTTATGGTGAGTAAAGATCGTTTGGCCTAGCATGTGTGTTTTATGAAAATTTAAAACTATTTATGAAATTCATGAAAATTTAAAACTGAAATTTTACAATGGCCTTTTTCCACAGTAAATACGTACAGCGAAAGAAAGAGCATCCTTTGGTATCTCTGAAATTGAAACTATAAATACATAAAAATAAACATATATACACATATAAATGCAAAATATACATATATAATATATACACTAATTTCTATATAAATATATATATTTTCTATATAAATATACATATATACACTAATGTCTAGATGCTGTCTGCGACTAAAGCGGAAAAAACAGTTTCAGAGAACAAAAATCGTTCATTCCCAGCATGAGAGCTTAGTTGAAGTATTTTCACAGCATTATTTTTTTTTTAATTTCTAATTTTTTTTATAAATCAAATATAATTTTGGGTTTTCTAATTCGTTTAGATTGGGATGTATTGGTTTGACTTTCAGATGCATCTGTAGAGACAACTCTTCTGTTCTTAGTCTTCTTATGTTTGAGTTTAGTTTCAGTTTTTTCTGTATTTAGCTTTCTCGATTTCAGTCCTTTTTTACTATTTACTTTTTCTATTATATAATATGGTTCCCTAAGTGTCATATTCCTTGTAGCCCGGGGATCTAAAATTTCGGGTAACACACAGTCAAAGAAAAATGAATTGAGTTTGGGAAGAATATTTTTCCAAAATTTCTCGTTTTTCTCTATTCTAACAGTTAATGTGTCTCCTTGGCACCAATAAAAAAGATCGCACCAACTTCGGTTAGTAATATTCAACTGACCTTGAATTTGAAAGTAATATTTGTGAGTATCTGGAAGGTAAAATGAACCATTTGCATTCCATTTTAATCCCTGCTGTTTGTTCTGTTTAAAGAATTCCTTAAGATTAGTGGAATCTCTAGCTGAGTACGGGCATTTTACCTCCACTAATCCGATGTCTCCAATAAGACCATCAGGGGAAGTGCACAGGAAAGGGTTTGCGGGATCTATAAATAATCCGCATCTATGAACATATAATTGTTTGTCATGTTCATATTGCGCCAGAGCTTTAGCTTCATTAGCTAAACCATATTGCATTGCCTCGCATGCTGTCGTGTTTTCATACACAATTCTTTTCACTAGGTTGGCAGTTCGCGTTGTATGTCGTCTGGTTACAATTTCTTTGAAATAAGAAGAAGATATTCTTTTGGATCTTTCCTGTCTCCACTTTTCTGATAGGATTTGCCCTCTAGTTCCTAATTCGTCTTTACGCAGAACTTGAATAGACGACATGTAGTTCTTTTTAAGAATATTTAGTGCTTCTGTAGATATGTCTAGTTTCTCAGCAAAAATACCAAAGTCTCCTCTGAACTCTTTTCTTTTTTTCAAGATCAAATAATCTGCGCCTTTTCATTCTTTCAAAATGTCGTTTTTTTCGGGAATTTAAAAATCTGTGTAAAGGCGTTTGAGGACTTCTGCTCGATACTGCCTTATAAATACGACTCTGCCATTGTTGTGCAGGACTTTGAAAGGCCATAAGAGCTATGTTTGCTCTTCTATTTATGCTTCCTGCTTTTGCAAAATCGATTCTTTTGCCTCCCGAAGTCTTGCACAACTGGCTCATAAAATTTTCTGCAGGGTTATTTGTTGCATTCCAGATTAGTGTGTTAGAACATGCTACTAAAACACGTCCAATTTCTACTTCTATTGCTTGCAGCATACCCGAAGACTCCATTGTCTCAAAAACAGATTCATCAGGGTCAGCAAACTTTCGTTTGCAGAAAGACCCACAAGCATCGTGTTTTCCGAAGACGTGGTTTGGTGAATTTTGTAACTCCTGTACTAATGCGTCTACTATCTCTTGAGTTGGTTCCTTATGGTTCGAAATTGCATGATTTTTTATAGCTGCCCTTGCACCTCGTATTAATCTTGACATACGGCTCTTGAGAATTTTTCTGGCTTTAATGCCATTTGCCCCTGAAAACCTGATGCTGCTACGTAGCAGTTTCTCGAGTGCTCGTCCGTATCTTCGTACAGCATGATTTGCGCATTCGACCTTTAAAACGCGGCCTCCATATGATACTTTCTCTCTCACTTTCATCATGGTATTGGCATCACCATCACCCACTAAACGAGTACATCGAATATTATGTACTTCCTCTAAGTACTGCAAGCCTTCTACTATCGTATCACTTTCCATTCCAGTCGAAGGACCGTTCCAGTTCTTCCAACAAAAGTGCTCTTTTGCTTTTATTTTTCCCTGTTCGATTGAATTACAGATAAGACACACTTTATTTCTAACACCGATAAATAATATTTTTTGAGTGGCCATACCTATAATAACTGATATTCCTGCTGAAGCATTATATCCGTGCCCATAACTTCTCTTGCACCATCCACCGTCGGTTATAGCCGTTATACAATAAAAATTATCATTATCTTTGTCTCCACGTTCCTCTGCCTTTTCTTTTTCTTCTGCCACAGCACTATACATTGAGTCCTTCGCATAAGCTTCAATGATTTTACCGGTGATTTTTTCGCAAGAGGAAAACATGTACTGTGACATATATTTGATATTCATAATACTAAATTTTTCTTCTTCTTGAGAAAACCCACAGCCCGTTGTTAAAGCCCCTAAAACAGCTAAGTTATTCAGCGCATTTGGTTCTGTGTCAGATTCAATAATAGCTACGTCTGGGCACAACAGACTGCTGCAAACATATTTAAATGATGCAGCAAGTCCAGTATATTTAACGCTCGAGAATACATATTTCCCACCAAATTTGCAACTATATGTGTGCTCTTCTACCTTTCTGGCTTGATTTATGACAAGAGCTATATTACAGATAAAGCGGCCTGATGGCAAGTCCTGACTTTTACGTTCTTCATGAAATTCAGTGAGCAAAGGTGGTAAAATTTCCTCCGTTATTTGATCCTGATGTGATTCAGATTTAGAACTTACACTTTGAACTACAATATCATCAACTGATTGAAGATCATTTCTGCTGTCCTCATTAACCTGCAGTGTGTCCACTGGCTTTAGATTTGAAGATCTATGGGAGAGAAAAATAAATTCAGATATGTTAATGATAACTGAATAATAAAAGCAAAATTACAACTTAAAAAATAAAACATCTCCGGCTTTATTATTGCTAATAACTTTCAGAAAATCCTAACAGGCATGAAATTTTCCATATTACTTGATGTATCAGTTTTATACATTTCAGTGTTCCAAATATTTTCAGTCAGTTACCTAATGCGAGGCGTAGGCAAATTTAACGACAAAAGAAGCTAGATAAGAAGAGCTGCAATTAGATTTCCCAAAAGAAACAACTAGATAATTACATAGTTTTAAAAATTAGAGGAATAATTTTTTAATAGAAGAAACTTTTAAAATTAATTAAGAGTTTAGTAACTTAACGTAGTTTTAATTATACTGGTTTCTCTATCTGGTTGCTGCTGTAAATGTTGAAATTAATGTTTGACCACTTCTACTGTTTCTTCTCGAAATTTTGCACACATACCTATTAGCATTTGCAATTTAATCTTTTTAACATAAAATTGTAATTACTTAAAATAAATCGTTCTGAACTGCGTCATTTCAAAATTAATTGCAGTCATATAATTCTCATATAAAACTAATGACGCAGGACACTTATACAAGACTTTAATAAATAATGATTTCAAACTTGGCCAAAACTTATAGCAGCAAATAGAGATAAAACTAAATTATATTTAAATCATTCTGGATCAAGGTTTCATCTTAGAGAAGTCGAATATCTCTCTTTTTCTGCTGTTATTATCTTTATGCGTCATTTTCTAAACTATGTAACATTGTAAACCGAATACTTTTGCATTGAGATTCAAAAGCTGAATTAAGCATCAAAAAACCATTCAATAAAGAAGTAAAAAAAAAAATCACAAACTTCCTTTATGTTAAAAATAAAATGAAGAAGCAATGTGAAAATGAAAGAAAATGGATTATGAAGAAATTAATATATTAAATAACGTGCTTCTATTTAGCTATTTAGCCCAAATTTTCACGGAGCAAATACAGCTGACGAAACTAAATCCAATCGATATTAAATCGAATTTATATACTAAAGCTAGTCATGAAATATACGCAAGATCAATGCTTCAGGTTTCGGAACCGGCCTGTGAATAAATAAAATGGCACTTTTGAGAAGATTTTAAGTGTCTCTCTCATTTTTTTAAAATATATTACAAGAGATTAATGGTAGATGAAGCAAGGAAATTATAATTGAAAAACAAATCTGTTAACTTTTATGGGACTTCTTTAAAATATTTGATTCAACACATATGGCGATTTTTTTGTGACAAGTCATAACTATACGGCAATTTTTATTATTAAGCTTGGTTTTGAAGCTATCATTCTCCGATTCCAGCATCAACAAAAAATTTTAAACAAAACCCTTTGCTTTTCCATTATGCACATGCCAGGTATTTTTGCGGCTTTTTTATTGAAATAATTACTAATCATAAGAATAGCGTATTAGATGGCAAAACACACGCATACTGCATCACAGGTGATGCCCCGCCACGCTAGTACCAAAAAGCGTGGTTGGTTGCATAGCAGCAAAATACCCCTAAAACGAAAATCAAGTTAAAATATTTTAAACAGTGCGATAAATTAGAAAATATTAAACAATTAGATTAGTTAATAATGGTTTTGAGCTTTTTAAGTTACATGTTGTTGCAGGCACCTTTAGAACCACATATTTCATCATATATTTCAATACCATCTTTTAAATAATATTTTAAAAAATACTTCCGAAATTGTACAGTATTGTTTTTGTAAATCTTGGCTTTCAGTTTCTGGAAAGGATACTAACATTGTCACTATGTCACTGTTATTTATTTTTTATTGTTCAAAACTTTAAGTGCATACTGCATCCAAAAGCAGATACAGTACATTGATTTCATATATGTGTTTGTTAGAAAACTGAGAGTATTTTCACTTTGTTTATTTTTAAGTTCATTATTCTGTAGGAAACTTTTCAGATGCATCAAACTTTTTCTATTTATGTATTAATATGTTTTGTCTTTCTTGAAACTGTTATTCTGAGGAGGTTTGACAGGTGCATAACAAAGTGTGAAAATAAAATACACTGTATGAATTAATCGACCATGTTTTGATTATCATTTCTGCGTTCTTTTAAATTTGTATGGATGAACATCTCTTGAAAATAGTACTATATTTTTCTTCCGTATAGGTCACGCTTCTGTTGAAAGATTATTTAGAGTTTTCCATCAATATCTGGCCGAATCTTCTAAATCTACTTTCATTATTCATGTTTAGAATCTTCATGTTTAGAATGGTGCCGGACTGGAGCGGATGTGGATGAATGCTTAAATGCTAATTGCTTATGCTTATATTAGCCCAGTTGGGCTTTAATAAACTATATTGATCTAATCCCCTAAGGACAATCAGAATGTCAACTATCAGCTAGTTCCCAGCCGGGAAATCGGAGCGGGTAAGGAAAAGAGAGCCCATCGGCCATAGTGACAAAGTCCAATCATCAAAGTAACTTAACTCTTACCCCTGAGACAAGAGTAATAATCACGTGTATGGAGCTATGAAGATGCAAAAGAAATGAAAATACATGAAATGTGCATAGGATACAGTGTTGAACATGTAATAAACAAATGAAAGTGAAGTAATGTACGCATAAAAATGTGTTATTTACATATTTGAAAACGAGTGGGGTAAGTGACAAAATTGTGATCCCTCATTCTGTGAGCCGTGAAAGGCCTGATATTGTAGTCCTCAGAAATGCAGACATAGTTCAGTACAGCATTAAAGTTTCCTTTACTGCAATTCAAACCTTTGTCAAAGAACTTGCTGTTAAGATTTTGCAGATATTTGTCAATATATTCAACTTGTAAATCATCGTGCAGGAGTTTGTTACGGATGTAAAAATGCGCTCCTGTCATGGTGCGTAAGATTGTGTTTTGAGTCACCTGCAATTTGTTGATATCTGAGCTTGTAGCAGTCGCCCAGACAGGGGACGCATAACACATAATTGGTCTTAAAATGGAAATATAAATCTGTCTTTTCCTTCTCAGATCTAACTGCGAGCTGCGCCTAGCAGTACTTGTAATTGTTGAGCAATTCCTCTGGGGTCTTGTTTGCAATGTAATTGACATGCGTACTCCACGTGAGTCTTCGATTCAAGTAAACACCTAAATACTTGGCCTTGTTTACCATCGGGACACGTTGGCCGAATAGGTAAAGT